TCTAGCCCAGTATCCTGTCTTCCAGCTTAGAGACTAACAAATTTATTAGCGCATAAGCTTTCGTGGGCTACAGCCCACTTCCTCAGATGCATATAGAATGGAACATATATTGAGGAGATATGTATACACACATACAGAGAGCATGAACAGGTGGGAGTCGACTTCCACCTGTTCATGCTCTCTGTATGTGTGTATACATATCTCCTCAATATATGTTCCATTCTATATGCATCCGAGGAAGTGGGCTGTAGCCCACGAAAGCTTATGCTATAATAAATTTGTTAGTCTCTAAGGTGCCACAAGTACTCCTGTTCTTTTTGCGGATACAGACTAACACGGCTGCTACTCTGAAACCTGTCTTCCAACAGTGGCCAATGTCATGTGCCCCAGAGGGAATGAACAGAACAGGTAATCATCGAGTGAGCCATCCCTGTTGCCCATCCCCAGCTTCTGACAAACAAAGGCTAGGGACACCATTCCTGCCCATCCTGGGTACTAGCCATTGATGGACCTATCTTCCATTAATTTATCTAGTTCTTTGTTGAACTCTGGTTTAGATTTGGCCTTCACAACATCCTCTGGCAAAGAGTTCCACAGGTTGACTGTGTGTTGTGTGAAGAAATACTTCCTTTTGTTTGTTTTAAACCTGCTGCCTATTAATTTTCATTTGGTGACCCCTAGTTTTCTTGAGTAGTTTTGTATCATCTGCAAATTTTGCCACCTTACAGTTTATCCCTTTTTTCAGATCATTTATGAATATGTTGAATTATAGTGGTCCCAGTACAGACCCTGGGGACACCACTATTTACATCTCTCCATTCTGAAAACTGACCATTTATTCCTACTCTTTGTTTCCTATCTTTTAACCAATTTCTGATCCATGAGAGGACCTCCCCTTTTATCCCATGACAACTTACTTTGCTTAAGAGCTTTTGGTGATGGAGCCTGTCAAAGGCTTTCTGAAAATCTAAGTACACTATATCGACTGGATCCCTCTTGTCCACATTCTAGTTGACCCCCTCAAAAAATTCTAGTAGATTGATGAGGCATGATTTCCCTTTACAAAAACCATGTTGACTCTTCCACAACAAATTATCTTCCTTATACCCCCTTCATGTTTTAATCTGTCTCTCAGTGCTACTTCCCTCTGAACTGTTTCCATTTTGACTTCCATAATTTTAATCTTTGATTTTCAGTTTCTGTTTTAACCCTTCCCACTTTGTACAGCTGTAGCTCTCTTGGTTAGTGCATTAGGGACATTGCATAGTGTGTCACCATATTGAGATGAATGTGGTGTTTATGGGGCAATGGTGATACTGTTTTCCTTGACACCGTGTTTTCTAAAGGCTGGGTTAATGGGCATAAACAGATCAGATTATGTTGAAATTTTGCTCTGCAATATGGAAAACTTCTAAACCCAACATTGTTTTAAAACTGTGGGTACAGCAATTGTAATGAGTCTAAAATCTCACAGTTCATACTGTTTGCACACCTTTGATTTTTCTCATGACCTTGTTCATCACTAAACACTATACAGGCAATTCATACTGCTGTAAATTAGGAAGTCCCTCTTATGTTACCCTGAAAGCCTATGCCAGTTGGTCTGCTGTAATAACCTTCTTTTCTTTTTCCTCTTAGGAAATTTGCTACAGGATCCTATTGCTCCCACCAACTCCACGTGTCAGCATTATGTCTGCAAAACTTGTAAAGGCAAAAAGATGATGATGAAACCATCATGTAGTTGGTGCAAAGACTATGAACAGTTTGAGGAAAATAAACAGTTGAGCATTCTAGTGAACTGCTACAAAAAACTGTGTGAATACATAACACAGACTCCATTGGCACGAGACATAATACAAGCAGTTGACTGTTCTGCAGATCTTTTGGCTTTGCTCAAAGATGGATCACCACTCCATGAAGACACAGAAAACATTTCTGATGCAGCCATGCCTTTGTGTTTGACACATTCTCCATTACCTTCAACCTCAGAACATATTAATGATCCTCAAGCTAGTTTTTCTTCAATACCTGAAAGTACACATAATATTGATATTAGAAGTTCTGTTATCAATGGATTGCCCAATTGTAATGGGCTTTCAGTGGATAAACTTGGAGTAAATATTCCTTCCCCTGAACATGCAAATACAATTGATGTGTGTAGTACTGGAGAGTACATAAAAACTGAGGATATCTCTAGCAGTCTTCAGCCTGTGTGTGACACAGTTTCTACTAGTGACTTGTGTACATCAGGCCTTGACATCTGCAGTTTCAACGAAGATATAAAACCTGGCTCGCTATTGCTTAGTGTTGAGGAAGTTCTCCGAAGCTTAGAAACTGTTTCAAGCACTGAAGTCTGTGGTTCTGATTTGCAGCCCAGCTTGGAAGCCACCATATCCAATGGTCCTTTCCTGCAGCTTTCTCCCCCACCTCTTAGCCATAATGTTTTCATGTCCACAGGTGCTTCTCCTCATGGGATCTCATGTACAGCAGCAACACCTAAGGTAGTTAAGTTAAACCGGAAGCGATCTCGATCAGAAAGTGACAGCGAAAAGGTTCAGCCACTACCCATTTCCAGCATCATCTGTGGCCCAACGTTGGGAGCATCAGCTCCAGTAACAGTAAAACAGGAAAATAAAATGTCTTTGCAGCCTGTAGCAACTGTACCCAATGGAGGCACTACTCCCAAAATAAGTAAAACTGTACTCCTGCCTAATAAAAGCATGAAAAAGAATCTAGAACATGCCCCCAAGAAATCTCACCCGAAAGCCAAACCAGGAATACTGAAAACAAAAGACAAAGCAAAGGAAAAGGTTGCTAGCAGTAATGTTATGCCAGGAAGTCCGACAAAAACTGCATATAAAAAGCCACAAGAAAAGAAAGGGTGTAAATGTGGTCGCGCCACCCAAAATCCAAGTGTTCTTACATGCCGTGGCCAACGCTGCCCTTGCTACTCTAACCGTAAAGCCTGCTTAGACTGTATATGCCGTGGCTGCCAAAACTCATATATGGCTAATGGGGAGAAGAAGCTGGAAGCATTTGCAGTGCCAGAAAAGGCCTTGGAACAGACTAGGCTTACTTTGGGCATTAATGTGACAAGCATTGTGCGCAGTGCCAGCACAAGCACCAGTGTAATTAATGTGACAGGGTCACCAGTAACTACATTTTTAGCTGCCAGTACACACGATGATAAAAGTTTGGATGAAGCTATAGACATGAGATATGACTGTTAAATCTTTTTTTTTTTGTCTTTTCCCTGCCCTTAGTAGGGGAACTGCTACAGTTTTAAGGCAGCTATGGTTCTGTTTAACTTGCCGAAGCTCCTGCCTATAGATCACTTGTATCAAGTGTTTTTCATTGCTATGTTATGTGTGTTAGTGTCTGGGAAATAGTTTGCAGATAATGGAGGAGTTACCCTAAAACTATGTCTTTAGATCTCACAGCACCTCATAGTTTGAGATCAGATGCTGATGTAAATGGTTTTAATACAAGATGACCTTTGGAAAGGAACATATTAACCTCATTGTACCAGTTAATGCTTTGTGCTCAATTAAAACTTCCGATTAAATGTAAGGAAGTGGTATCTAGTCAGTCTATCAAAGTTGTGCTAATTTATGATGTGTGAAAGTAACTGCCAAATACACTGCCATAGGGAGTCAGTGTTGCTAGCAAATCACATCCCATTCCTGTTGAAAGTACAGTATTAACGGAGGACTGCAGTCTTTGAATGACACATCTTTTTTGATTATGAGCGTTGGTTATCTAGAGCATGGAACAGTACAAATCAGTAATTTCATGGAAAGAAAAGTTGTCCCTCATTGGAATTTGCCCAGTTACTTCTTAGCCATCAACTGGAGTCAGTTGTAAAGTGGCTGTCCCTCCAGATCCTGCTCAAGTTTCTGTGTAATCGCTTCATTCACTTTTTCTAAACAGCCTGCAGGTGGATGTGTGACTGGTATATTTTATGCCCTGTGGCACTAACTCCATTCATCTTTGGCATGTTGCTGTTCACTTCATCAGGAGAGGGGAAACAACTGATAAACAAAGAAGGGCCAAATACCACATATGTAAACCCATTGATTTCAGTGGGAGTTGCTGCAAGTGGTATCTGAGAAGAATTTGACCCTAGGTTACAAATATCAAAAATAAATCTGGGCTGGGTTAAAATCTTTGTCCATTGGTGCCCCCCAATACATCCTGGTTTATACAGCCTTTACCCACCATTGGTTTCTCTTTTCTTCACTTAAAGATATAAATGAGGTTAACACTGTATTGTGATACACTTGGGATCTATTTACTCTAGGAAAATAGCCCATTGTTACTTGCTTCCCCTCAGTCAGGAAAGAGAACTGATGGGTAAACAGGATCAAGTTATTTTCAGTACTCATTCGGTAAAGTATGCAATACAGCATCTTCCACCAAGTGTTCAGCTCACTCGTCTACATTCAGTATGCCCAACTGGTTGATTTCCTGTTAATCCCTGAAAATAAGGAAATCGTTCAAAGAAGGCTTTTTGCATTTTGCACAACATTACAGCAGTTTTAAGATTTTTTTTAATGCCATTCTAAAGAAGTCAGACTTCCTCATGATGCAGAGGTATCTCTTTAAATGGCACAGCACCAAAAAAAGATGGTCTGACTAGTATACAAAGCATTATCCTTGTAATTTAAAGGACAATTACTATTTATAACAGCATGTCTAAAGAGAAACAGTGCTTGAATTTTTCAAATTCCATTTTATGGCAGCCATATTTTTATTAATTAAATGAAATCTCCAATGAATTATGACATAATGGATATATTTTGATTGTGCACAAAGCATGTACAATGATGGTTACCTGTCTAAGAAATAAGCAAAAACTTTTTGGACACAAATCAAATGACACCACCTTTTGTTTTTGTAGTGTACTATGGTGTCATTTTCTGTGAATGTGGTCAGATAATTTTTTTCGTTTTGTTTTGTATTGCCCCCCGTCTTTTTTTGTGGGGTCGGGTAGGGTGGGGTGTTAAAGCCATAGGAAGAAAAATGTGATGTATGTGTCCAGTCTGTACTATTTTGTTTTTGTTTTGCAAGAAGAGTTGAAAAATATTTTTGATAACGAGAGTAAATGGTGGAAAATGCTTCTTAGTATTCTTGTCTTTATTTGCCAATCCAAGTACCTGAATTCCCTGTTTTTAACCCTTATGAGGCTTAATGATGTCCTATTAAAACATATTTAGTTACATTTGTATGTGATTTTGTGTGTTGACCAAGAGACTCCTACCATTTTCTACTTTGGTGGTTTGACTTTAACCTACTCATGTAAATCTGTGTTTATTATTCCACTACATGTAAGTAAAGTAATCAAGTGACAAACAGATTTTAGTGGAGTTTGAGCAACATGGGTAGTAGCTTCTGAACACTTCCGCAAAGCTGTTAAGTTTTGCTGAGATTGTTGTTAGTACATTTATTTGTACTCTAAACTATATACTTCAGTACACATTCCTCAATGTAGGAGTAGTTTGGAATTATTTATTTTTTACTGTTGCATTAAGTGAGGTTCCAGTTGTTGGAGATTTAGGTGAAGTGTTTTTTGGAAGCATTGATAGGAGACCCCTGATCATTAATGTAACATTGCTAAATGGTAAATTCAGGTTGTTTTAAAAACAAGTTTCCTTTTATGCTACCACGTTCTTTAAATGTGTATTAAAATGTAAATTGATTAATAAATGTTAGTTTTCTAATTCTATTTTGTAACTGCTGGGGGCATCAGTGTGGCATGTCTGAATGCTTTTTAGTTTTCAGAAGAAAATTACTTGTTTCTTCATAATTTAAAATTAGCTTTTGTTTCTTTTCATTTTCTGCCTCCCCTGTATGTTGAGTAAATTAAGCAGTGGAAAAGGATTATGAGTTTGGAGGAGAGAACTGCAGTGAAATTGGTCCTATCTTTCTAGGATCATTTAAAGCAACCTAAATAGTAGCATAAATGATCTTTACCTTCACGCTGGCTGTTTTTTGCCTATCTACACTAGTGAGTACCACAGTTGCTATTACAAGTGGCGCTGCCCCCATGGAGTGGTGCAATAGTGGGAAACCTTGAAATCTTTGCTAATGTAAATAAGACCACTTGGGGCTACCCTGCATTTGGTACATGTGTGCTCTTTTTCTCTCTCTCCTCAGAGTTTTTGAAGTAATGCATTACTCTTGCAAACTTTCTTCAAATTCTCTATAATTTTAGAACTGCATCAGGAACAAAATGTAGCTGGTGAAGGACCACTATCCTCAAAGATATTTCTGATGTAAGTTGCTTTTTAGCTGGGAGTATGCTGCACAAATTGGAAGATCAAAAACTTGCTTTCAAAAATTGGATCAGTAACTTGTCTGTCCTTTTCTGGGATGTGTAATATTTCTCTTGGAAAGGTCCAGTTCATCTGGTACAAAATTAATGTGGTGTTCACATCCATACCATCTGAATACAAGAGTGAGAATCCTTTGTCAAGGAATAGACACATTAAAACGTTTTCCATGCACCAAACTACTATATATATATATATAAAATATAGTCCAAGTTGCAAGCGCATCTAGTTTGGCTATACTTTCAATTTATTATTTTTACAGTAACAAAAGTATGCTTCATGTATGCTTCAAAAGTATGTTTAAAGAAACATAAAGAAAAAAGGTCCCTGCCCCAATGGTCTTACATTTATCTAATTGTAGACCGGCACTAAGAGGGAGAGAAACAAATAGGATAGATGAAGTAATAAGTAATTTGGGCACTTGCACGTCATGAAATTATGTTGTGTATAAACAACTTCGGAGTGTTTTTTCACCTTGTAGCTGATATGGCAAAAGTGAGTTTTAAGAGGGATTAAAATAAGGTAAGGATGGTGGCTTGATAAATGGATATTGGGAATATGTTCCACACTGGAGGGACAGTGTGGGGAAAAGAATGTGTGGGATTAGGAGAAAGAAACGAAGGGAGATGTTGAACAGAGATTGAATTGCAGGGGGAGGAGGGGGGCTGGGTCTCATTATTTTTAGGGTCTAACCAGCTTTTGATTTATTCAAAGGCTTGGGGCGGGAAGGGTGATTTGGCCCCCTTCTCCCTTTGTGGCCAGCAGTAGAGTCAGGAGCTACCAGGAGATCAGCAGCAGCAGGTGCTGCCACCCCATGGTAGGGGGAGCTGGAGTGTAGCAAGGAGAGAGTCCACAATCACAACTGGTCCTCCTGTTCAGACTTGGTACTTCACTGATGTATCCCAGGCTCTGACACCCCACTCTGGAGAAGCCCCTTCACCCCAGCAAGAAGTGATAGGTGCTGTCTGGTGCCTTGGCCAGCTGCTTGACAGAGATCAGTTCCCACCACTCGTCCAGCAACAAGGCTGAGGGAAAGGGGGTTAGAAATTAGGTGAGCTGGGGCCAGAGGGGAGGTTGTAGACCTGTTGAATTGGGAGGAGAGGGGACTTGGCATCTACATGGGGGAAACTGGATAGAGAACTGGTAGTCGAGGGTAGAAGGGGTGCTGTGGTAGGTGCAGAAGTGGGAGTTACGTGTGGGGAGCAGGCAGGGCAGAAGGTGGTGGGTAATGGGTAGAGGAGATGGGGTGTTAAAGGTAGGGGAGGCAGGGGCAGAAGGTGGGGGGTTATGCAGTAAGGACAGCCAGGGAGAAGAGGAGGGTCAGAAAGGGGCAGTTAACAGGTAAAGGAAAAGGGGGCAGTTTAGGAGTAGGGAAGGCATTGGGGCAGAAAGGGGAGTTAGGGGCAGAGAGGAGAAGGCAGTCTTGCTGCAGCTGAATTCAGCTTTGCAGCACCACGGTGCTAATACAGGAGTCTCCAGGGGATACTCTGGCACCTCAGTCCAGCTGCCTCCAGGGCCATCCACATTCATTAAGGGCTCCATTCATTATGGTCAACCCCTACTTTTCCCCCCCAGGATTCGATCATTGGTATTGAGGCTGATGACATTTTGACATTTGTAGATCAGTCAAAGGTGGGGGAATGCCCTGGCAGACTGAGTCACGGATACAGATCAAGTTGCAAATGAGCAAGGTCCCTGAACATGTGAATGAGAAGTTTTGACCTTGATGATCAGGGTAATGGGAATTGTTGCAGGCTTAAAAGATGTGGGCAATGTGATCTGAATGACATTGAATGAAAGGATTTTGGGGGAACATGAGGGGAACATGCAATCAATAATCCCCATGCTATGACACCTCAGTAGAATGAATTACTTTTAATTTGAAAAACAGACCAATGCAAAGTAAAACAGCAAAGGTAAAACCATGCAGCACAAGCGATCTCCATGCTACCTCTTTGAGTTTCAGAACCTTTGCTATTAAGTCTCTACTTCCTGCAAACATCACCTAATTATATATAAAAAGCAGGTTAAAATACATACAGATTAAATTGTAAGCATTGTTTAAATCTATAGTTCTTACAGTAGTTTGTGTTCTTTATTGGAGCTCACTTTTGATTGCGTGGATTTAAGATACTGTGATTTTTTTAAAAAAGCATATTTTTCAAGTTGCCTGTACAAGTGGTATCCTCGGTACCGTGCAAGCATCGAAGCCTGACATCCACAATGCTTGCAGTGTGCCCACCATCACTGGTACCATTGACCCCAGTTATGGCAATCTCAGCTATGACATTGGTACCAGTGTCCTTTCCGGCACTGTAGGAGTTCCAGTACTTGAGGGACATCTCATTGTTGGAAGAGCCAGAGTCCCCGTTATCAGGTACTAAGCATCTTTTGGTACTGAGACCTCATTCTCTGAGTAGCCATTCCATGTCACAGGACTCTCCTCCAACCTCATTGGATGCCCCCATGTGGAGGAAGAGGACTGCTAATCAGTCTTCTTGATTTCTGAGGTGTTCTCCTACATACCCCTTTGGGAATCTGCCTTTGTGCCAGGAGGACCTTGCAGGTCATCAAGGATGGTGGAACCAACCTTGTATGCCACCCCTGCTTCCTTATGAACCCCGCAGTGGCCATAGTGGGACCCGTGGGCTGCCTATTGACAGCACTTTAACAGACCACAAGTACCATCCCTCAAAGAGACCGGGATTTCACATTCTCCCTCTACCCATCCATGACAGAAGGAGACATTTCAAGAGCAGGAGGCTAGGACATATGAGGAAGTCATCTCTGAGATTCCCATTTCATCATCACCAGATGAAGCAGTTATTTTTCCACCACCTTCCATGTCCAATGACTTCAGGCAGTTTCAGGACCTCACTAGAAGGCTACCTGACATCCTACAGATCCCTCTGGAGGAGGTCAAAGATCTGCAGCACAAGTTGCTAGATATTTTGCAGTCGGCAACACCCTCCTGAGTAGTGCTACCTATTAATGAGGCTCTCCTGGATCCAGCTAAGACGGTATGGTAGATGCCAGCCACTGTTCCACCAATATGCAGTTGTGAATGCGCCGTAGTTGTGAATGAACAGAGTAGGCAGCACATTTTGAGAACTACCCCTATGACAAGGACCAAAAGCAACTGAATGTCTTTGGACCAAAATGTTACTAGTTCAGAACTGTGCAATTCCAGATCACAATCAGGCTGTCAGCCAAATATACATTATTGAGGCCAGGTCTACACTACCACTTACTTCCCCATATCTTATGTCTGTGAATAAGCCAAGCCACCCCACCCACCCATCCTGAGTGACATATGTTCCACTGACCTAAGCACTGGTATGGACAGTGCTATGCCCGCCGACATAGCTACTGGGGGGAGGGATAGCTCAGTGGTTTGAGCATTGGCCTGCTAAACCCAGGGTTGTGAGTTGGATCCTTGAGGGGGCCACTTAGGGATCTGGGGCAAAATCAGTACTTGGACCTGCTAGTGAAGGCAGGGGGCTGGACTCGATGACCTTTCAAGGTCCCTTCCAGTTCTAGGAGATAGGATATCTCCATTAATTTTTTTTATTGTTATTTTTTATTTTTTTGAATTACCACCTCTCATGGAGGTGGATTTATTGTGCTAACGGGAGAGCTTTCTCCCATCAGCATAGAACATCTTCACCAGACGCGCTACAGTGGCATGGCTGCACCGACATAGTGCTTCTAGTGTAGACTAGCCCTAATTAAAACAAGCTTGTGGCTTTTATGGAACAGCAGCTACACAACTGCAGGAAGCAGTTCCAGTCCGTAGTTGTGGAGGGCCAGCTATTGGCCAGAACATCTCTCCAGGCATCCCTAGCTGCTGTGGACACTGCTTCCAGATCCATGGTGTTAGCAGTGCTCT